GTTAAGCTCTTTGTAGGAGCCGGTGCTGTGGCGCAGAAGGTTAAGCCTCCGCCTGCTGTGCCAGCATTCCATATGGGCTCCAGTTTTAGTCCAGGCTGCTCCTCTTCTGATCCAGCTGTCTGCTACCACCTGGGAAAGCAGTAGAAGATGGCCCAGGTGCTTAGGCTTCTGCACCCATGCAGGAGACCTGAAAGAATCTCCTGACTTCTGATTGGCGCAGCTCTGGTTGTTGCACCAATTTGGGGAGTGAACCAGTGGATGGAAGACCTCTCTCTGTCTATCCCTCTCACTCTCTGTAACTCTACATCTCAAATAAATAAATAAAAATCTTTAAAAAAAAGATTTTTGTAGAGTTAAGATTCTATTTACAGCTTCACCTGTGTTCTCTAAAGCATAGTGGGGAACTCTCTCAGTATTAAATGTTTTCAAAATACATTTCACAAATTTGAGCTTCATTTATTTTCCAATAAAGAAAAATAGATCATAAAGTGTTATCATATAAACTTAATAGCTACTTTTTAAAAAAGCTAACAGTGGGGTGGGCATGGTGCTGCAGTAGATTAGGCCATCACTTGAAACACCCACATCCCTTAGTGGAGTCCCTGAACTTTTTCTCCCACCTCTAATCTGATCCAACTTCCTGCTAATATGCTTCCTGGTAACAACAGATGATGCATCAAGCACTTGGGTCTCTGCCATCCGCTTGGGAAACCCAGAAAGACTTCTGAGCTCCTGCTTCAGCTGGGTCCAGCCCTGGCTGCTTCAAGCATTTGGAGAGTGAATCAGCAGAGGAAAGATTCTCTCTCTCTCTTTCTCTCTCCATTTCAAATAAAAATAAATAAATAAATTTTAAACATTTTAATAGCTAGCAGTTCAATACATTTACCTCATACTTATCATACTGATAATTCATGTCTATTTGTTATGCCTGTTTCTTGAGATTGCAAACACAGTAAAAGTAGTGAACATGTTTGTTTTCTCATATCTGTTTATGTCTATGTTTGTTTCTGTGTATCTGAGAGATATATGTGTACACACAGGATATATACACACAACATACAGGTGTACATCTATGTAATAGATGCATAGGCATATTTGTATCTATATGTGTGTGTGATGCTTACTAGTACAGTATAAGCTAGTATAAGTATTTGTTGAACTGGTGGATCAATGCAGCTTTAAAACCTATTCTGAGCACTTATCTAGCACTTTCATCTCATCAACAATAAGTCTCCATTAGCATCATGCCACAAATTTACTTGGAATAAACTCTCTCCACTCTTTAGCTTTTTGTTTACTTTTTGAATTACTGTGTCTCAGATTTCTTATGGACCTTCTTTAATAGATTTGTAAAGAAGAGTAAACTGAACATTTTTATTTACTCCTGGCCTTTCCTCTTTTCTCAGCACCTGTCCTTTGGTTTTACTCATTTGTGATCCTAAGTCAACACACAAATATTGAGAGTCCACTGTGGGACAGACAATGTCTTTGGAATACAGAGAACTCTCTGTTGAACAGTGGAGACACAATTGAAAACAAATAATTAACATCCAGGTAGAGAAGTGTCAACAGAAATATACACAGTGTGTGATGCAAGATTGAAGAGGATGACAGGAATAATTAAGATGTAATGGTAAGAGACAAATTTCATAGTAACTTCTATCAGAATTTGACATTAGACTAGAGGGCTTCACCAAATGTGGGTAGGAGCATTGGCTGTAGGCAGGAGAATCAGCATGTGCCTGAGAATCTCTCTGCCCTTCACTTCATTGAGTTCTTTACCTGGACTCAGATGGCAATGGAGTGACAGAGTGCGCTGTTGTCAATGGTTCCAAATTGTGAATCTCATCATTTCTCCATCCTGCCCATATTTTTACTCAACTCTCATAATAAAATCAGAGACTTTAATCTGGTACAAAAGGATGTCCATAGGCAGATCAATCACTTGTCAATCACATCAGTTTCATCTGACAATTTCCAGAATGTACTGGGGAGTGTATTTCAAGCCTCATGACTTTTGGAAGTGTTAAGTCCTTTGAGCCTAGAATATGTCCTTTCTTCTTTAAATACTTCCTCCTCTCTCAATCATTACATATTCATGAAAGCTTTTCTGAGATTGAGTGGGAAGCTCCAGAGTAATACTTCTTTTTTTCATATTTATCAGATTGTGTCATCGGAGTGTAACCTCTTGGTTTGCCTCTTGCCAGTAAGATATCTACTAGCTGGAAACCATCTCTCTTATCTCTGCCTCACTTGTATAGAGCACCAAATAAAGGGATCAGTAAACCAAGATTAATAATCTACTCTTGGGATAATATAAAAGATTACCAAGTGTCTTAATGTTCTCCATATCAATTAGCTATTGATTGTTTGAAATCATAGAATTAAGCATTCAGAAGGATTTTAGGATTCTCTAGTGCAATAGTCTAAAAATATTTCCCATAACCTATAGCAACAGGGAATATTCATATATCCAAAACAACAACTCCTCTATATAATACTTAGAACTTGAGATGTAGTAAAAATATAACAAAATTATTGTCAGGTACTATTTCAATTCCACTTAAATATAGCAAAGAATAAAGCAAAACTTAATAATGCCCAAATAAATCAAATAATTAGTAAACCAAAAATAGCTACATGCTTACCCACAAAAATGATTCCATGGTACACTGACAATGACAAGATCTCCTACCTTGTTTAGTTCTCTGTAAACTCTGCACATTTTATAGATAGAGGCTTAGTCTTAGTAGGTAAGTGACAAGTCCAAACAAGTGAGTCTAAAGCTGGGTATAGAAGTATAGAACACACCCAAATATCATGCTGCTCTCTTTCTACTTCACCACAATGAGAAAGACTCATTCATTCTTGTGATCCCAGATTGCTTTGGTAAAAGGCTTTTACTAATGAATTCAATGAACCCTCTAACCTTCCATCTTAAATATGATACTGGTCTAGGATCCTATTGGAAGGGATCCTGAAAATCCTCAAAACTATACTCTGAATTAAAGTTGACAATGCTTCAATATAGAAATTTCATATATCTGTAAGGAGCTTTAGGAGTATAAATGTGAGTGAATAAAGATGATATAAATTTGGAAGAAGAGGACCAGGCTGATAAAAAAGTCGCACCATGGAACAGATGGTTGGCACACTGGTTAGATGCTGTGTGGGAGCACCTGGTTGGAATCTTAGCTGCTCCACTTCTGATTCAGCTTCCTGTTAATGCACAGTCTGGGAGAAAGAAGTGATGACTAATGTACATGAGTCTCTCTCGTCCATGTGGCCCAGCCCTGGCTCTTGTGGGAATTTGGGGAGTGAATCAGAAAAACTCTCTTTCTTTGTCTCCCCATCCCTTATCTCTATCCCTCTGAATTTCAAGTAAAAATGAAAAGTAAAAAGTAAATAAATTTTAAAAAGTCATGCCCCCAGCACCGCGGCTCACTTGGCTAATCCTCTGCCTGCAGCACCAGCACTCCGGGTTCTAGTCCTGGTTGGGGCCCCAGGTTCTAGTCCCAGTTGCTCCTCTTCCAGTCCAGCTCTCTGCTGTGGCCCGGGAAGGCAATGGAAGATGGCTCAAGTCCTTGGGCCCTGCACCCGCGTGGGAGACCAGGAGGAAGCACCTGGCTTCTCCTGGTCTCCCATGCTGATCAGCACAGTGTGCTGGCCGTAATGGCCATTTTGGGGGGTGAACCAACAGAAGGAAGACCTTTCTCTCTGTCTCTCTGTCTCTCTCACTGTCTAACTCTACCTGTCAAAAACAAACAAACAAAAAAAAGTCATGCCCCAAACTTTTGAAATAAATGGGTATGACAGAATAAATTCTTTGCTAATTTTTTAAAAAGTGAAATTGGTATAATATTTTATATGAATCTTTATTAAACATAAAAACGAGTTTTTTCTATTGCATATTTTGTTTTGTTCTGTCTTGATAAATAATAAGTACATACTCTCATATTTAACAAGTACAGGTAACATGATATATGATGATATTGTGAAAGGTCACTAGGAAAATCTCTGTATGAAATGCACTGTCTTCCTCAGTCTCATACTGTTACTCGAAAGTAAACTAGAGAGAGCAAGAACATTCATAATTTAAGAGCGTCAGAGCCTACAGGCTTAAAGTATTTTATTTAATTGAAGACAAAAAGCAAATGACTGAACAATTGGAGATTATCACAAGACCGTGATTAAGTCTGAAACATCAGTCAGCACAGAACTAGTGAGAAATTCATTGCGATTAAGAATCTCTTTGAGAAACAAGTTAAAACTAAGCAGGAGTTTGAATGAAGTCACTCATCAAATGTCAACTATTCATTTCTGCACTTGATCTTAGTCAAAAGGCCAAGGAGCGATCAGCTATTTATTTCTGATCCTATAAGACAGTTGCCTAAATTTACATAAATATAAATATGTATACACCCTTCTTTACCTTAAATTCAATAATTAATCAATGCTCAATTATGACAAATGTCACATATAGTCTATATTTTGTTAATTTAACAAATATTTACATATGAGTATTTTAATTTTAATCATTTCAATAAGGTGAAATTTGCAATAAATCCATTGTTACTATACTTTCATTTATTTACATTTTAAAAACACAAATTCTAATTCACTCTCATCTAAAATTTAATTTGATTATATGGAATGCATGCATAAAAATGTTAACCATGTTATTAAACATATGAAATAAATTAAATGAAGTATGTTAACACTTTATTCTTTGAAACATGGGCTTTTCAAAGTTTTTAAATATAATATAGTCAACCTATTACTCATGTAATTTGTATTGCTATTATTTAGAAAGGACCATATATTAACCCCTTTTATTTAAAAAATATTACTTTTCAAAAAACAACAAAATAAAATTCAAACACATGCAGAAGTTATTTTAAAGCAATCGATATCAGCCAGCATCTGCATTGCACGTCACAGCAGTGCAGTGGTAAACTTCTGTCCCCACTGACAGCCCTTAGTGAGAAAACAGTACTTACGCGTACATCATGGACCCAGGACTGGGGCAGCTTCTATTCAGTCACCATCTGATCTCTATCAGCCAGGTCAGGGCTGGGAGGATAAAAATAATGACAGGCATTGGCAACAAGAAAGGGAACAAGTCCTACAGGTTAAGTGACTGAAGTCTGCGGTCTTGATACAGCCCGATAAGAACATGATCAGTTTTGTGCCATCTGGCTACACACAATGAAGTAATCGGCAATATTTGCCTAGAGAAGCTCCAAGCGATAGAGTGCTCAGAGCGAGCAACTACCCATGACTCAGAAGGCCATACTTTTCCGGTTGGGGAGGTATGATCAGCATTGAGGTGTGGCCCCAATTCAAAAACAAACAAACAAAAAAACCAAGGGCAAAAACTCCACTAGAGCCAGAGATGACTCTTCTTGCTTATTCATGGGAAATGCTCATGTCTTCCCTGTGAGGGAATCATGAGGTGTGGTAGAGGGGACCACACCTGTCTACGGACCCAGGAACCCCGTCTCGGAAGCCCTGGTGGGGAGGTCATAAGCAAGCAGTTCAATTTGTCGGGACTTAACTTTCCTCACAAGTAGGAAGGCAGGACTGTAGGAGCTTTTTCTAATTCTATCCATTTTAGTGTTGAAAATTATAGATTTTATTGAAAGAGCTTATTTACCCTCAAAAAGGCACTAAAAGGAGAATAAGAAATAAACCAAAAAAACCTAAACCTTCTTTCCCACTTTCTCATTCTTAGGAATACCGTGGTCCATCTTTGTGGTGTGAGTTCTCCAGTGTTTATATATAAATATTTCCTTTCAATTCAGAGATTTTAGTCTGAATGTATGACCTTCTGAGATCAATAAATTTACAGGATAGATATTACAATTTCAAAGGGTTCACAATCAGGAAATACTAAAGAAACAAAAGAAAAAAGCTATAAACATGCATTTCTTTTATTCACAGAGTACCTTTGCTAAAATAGTACAAATATATAATAAATTCAATCTTAACATTAGTGTGCTGTACATTGTGATTTAATGCTATAACTAGTACTCAAACAGTATTTTTCACTTTATGTTTCTGTGTGGGAGCAAACTGTTGAAATCTTTACTTAATGTATGCTAAACTGATCTCCTGTAAATAAAGATAATTGAAAATGAATCTTGATGTGAATGGAAGGGGGGAGGGAGTGGGAAAGGGGAGGGTTGCGGGTTGGAGGGACGTTATGGGGGGGAAAGCCATTGTAATCCATAAGCTGTACTTTGGAAATTTATATTCATTAAATAAAAGTTTAAAAAATTATAACATCATAATAAAGCATTAATAGGAAATATATTTTCCAAGACATTTAACAAATGGAAAAAAGCAGTTTGAATAAATATCAACAATGTAAAAAAGATACATGACAGTATAATTTTAAGTAGTGATTGGGGACGGCGTTGTGGCGCAATGGGTTAACGCACTGGCTTGCTCCACTTCAGATCCAGCTCTCTGCAATAGCCTGGGTAAGCAGAAGATGGCCCAAGTTCTTGGGCCCCTGCACCCACATGGGAGAACCGGAAGAAACTCCTGGCTCCTGGCTTCGGATCGGTGCAGCTCCGGCCATTGCGGCCATCTGGGGAGTGAACCAGCAGATGGAAGACATCTCTCTCTCTGCCTCTTCTCTCTCTATGTAACTCTGACTTTCGAATAAATAAATAAATATTTTTAAAAAAGTAGTGATATACTGGATGTGATTTGCCAATATTTTATTGAGGGTGTTTTACATCTGATTCTTTAGCTCTCTCCTCACTTCTAAAGTTGGCATTTAGTACTGTAAGTTTCCCTCTCAGCATTGCGTTAGCTGTGTGCTGTGTGTTTTGGTATGTGATCGTTTCATATTCATTAAATATTTAAAAGTAAAAAAAAAAGTAGTGATAAAAATAAGTAATTCACAAAAATTAGCATTCACTTTATACTGATAATATCATTTTAACTTAGCAAAAGTAACTTTTTGGAGCATTGATTTTTTTATCTGAAGTAAAATATTTCAAAATCTAACAAAAGGGTACTAGAAAAATTATATAAGTTTCAGTGTATGAATATAACTCATTATTATTTTCACTGTCAAGTAATATAGTTTAGCTACAGAAGCACTTGAGCTATTGAAATTAATGTTATTTAAATATTCCTTTAAGATGGGTTTAACATTTACTTGAAATATTCCTCATTAATAAATTAGTATTTTCATAATCCTTATTTACTAAAAATCATAAAAATGATTTCAATCCTTTATATGAGCAAATAATAACACAGAAGAAGATAAACTCTTTGGCTTAACTGGAGGAAATTAGGAAGGAAATATTAAAGAACTGGAGGAAATACAAGAAGCTCATCCACATTAGTACATGAATCAGCTTTGAGGAATCAAGAAGGAGATAAGAGCTGTGTATGCATTTCTTGTCTTTGTTAATAAAATTATCATTTTCTTATTAAGTTATAGGACTTGGGGAAGAGAAATTTGAGATATAGAAATATATGTTTTAAACACATTTAAACAGCTAAAGATGGTGGTAGAAGCTATTTCATTTTTAAAAGCTAAAAAATAGAAATTTAACAGTCTCCCTCAAGAATTTTTCCTATTGGGTCAATATTTAAAGTTATTTTGTACTTGGTTTTAAAGATGGCGTTTCTTTGTTTTTGTTTTTCCCCCTTCTTCTGCTTCAATGTAAATGTAAGCTAGCTCACTTTTACTCTCTGAGCTGATGTCTTTTTCAAGGTGGGGTTGCAGTATAACAGCATCTTGAAGAAGATGTCTGGATCTGGTTCCTGGCACTGTCACTAATTACCAATGTGAACTTGAGAATATTCTTAGCCTTTCTACATCTCAGTTTCTCCATGTGTAAATTGGAGATACTGGTTGTATCTAGTTTAAATGAGATAATAGGTTTAAAGTACTTAAACAGTTTCTGGCACATAATAAAACCCTGAAAAATGCTAGGTAGTTTAGTCTCTCAAACTCTGTATTCATTCCCTCTAGAATTAGTAGTGCGTTGTCAATTGTCTTCCATGGACTTAAAATGTGGTATTTTCCAAACTTTTATGTTACATTGCTTTCTTTTCAGCAATGTATTGTCAGTAATTCTTACCTTTAATTGTAAGAAATAATAGAATAATTGATCTGTTATGTTCTAACCAATGTAGCATATGAGGATTGTTAAAGAATAGTTTTCACAAGGTTGGCTAACTTATGGTGAGGTTTGTTAGGGATTAGTAATTTGTATCATAAAAGTAAAATTATTGCATGTAAATTTTATTTCTTTGGTTCTTAGAACCCTCCAACACATGTTGCCACCTGGAGTAGGTACCGCACTGGTTTCTACGGTTGAAGTGCTGATTGATTTATTATGTCACAAGACAATTAGTGTATTATGCAAAAGGTCAATGTGGAAAAGTCAACAATATGATGACATGATACCAGGACATCAAGAGGAAAGTTAAGAAACTCCCAAATTAATTGTGCTTCTGATTGTCCATAATCAAAGGAAAGAAGGGAGAACTATAGCTTTTAGGATTGACTCTATTAAAAAATTAGAGATATTTTTCTATAATTGTAGGTATTGTAATAAATTAACCTTTTGGTTTTTTTATTTGAGAGGTAAAGTTACAGACAGAGAGAAGGAGAGACAGAGAGAAAGGTCTTCCATCCGCTGGTTTACTCCCCAGATGGCGGGGAACAGTCGAAGCTGGGCTGATGAAAAGGAGCCAGGAGCTTCTTCTGGATCAGGGTGCTGAAGTACTTGGGCTATCTTCCACTACTTTCCCAGTTACATTGGCAGGGAGCCTAACTATTTCATTTTAGAGACTTTGTTTTAAATCAAAATATCTATTTCACAGATAAGAGAAAGAAATCACGTTTACATTATCACTATAAATAGAATATAAATAGTTTACTTCATTATAATCATTTTCAAAGTTGGAGACATATTCTATTATAACTCAGATATAAAGTACGAAAACAATATCCTTGCTGGCAAGTACCTGTAATACTCGCTACCAAATGTATCTATCAGTTTCAACCAGTACGGTGAAATTGCAGGAAGTAAAACAGATGATTCTTTGAATAAATTCCTCATGGTTTGGGGGATCTCTATTTTGCCAATATGTAGTTTAATCAAGTGAAATAAAAAATGAAGAAGCTATTGATTTTGATACCCTAAAAACTTTCACAACTGAAAAATATTACCAAATTTCAATACTTTTCGTATTTGAAAATATTGCTATTTAGTAAGTTACTTTATAATGATTATAAAATATATTTTAACATTTTTATTTGTAGAGTTCACTTCTTTATACTTTGTGATCCAACTGTCATGTAGCTAAGTTTTCCTAAAATCTTTGCAGCTATGAAAAAAGAATAGTGCTAACATATTGAATAGACTAACATCAGCAGCACTGATGAAAATATATTCCCATTAATCAAATAGCCATTTATTTTCTTTCTTTAGGGGATGTTATTGGAAAATATTGTATGTATAAATTGTTTGACCCTTTGGAAAAAGGAGTTTCTATTTTTTATGGGCAAGAGTAAATATACTTCATATTTGCCCTCAAAGCTCACCATTTTTAAAATTTATATAAGGAGAACATATTTCATGATTTTTGTGATAACATACTTTCAATTTACTTTATAATCACAGACTTAATCCTTCCCTAAATAAATAATTGAATAACTAGAAAGTAGAAACACCACTATTCTGCAGGAGTATAGAGAAAGACTATAAACAATAATCACATCTCAAAATGTCAATTTCACTCATATACATTACTTTTTTGGGGTAATTTCTATATTAGCTACCAAAATCAGAGAAAACATATGTTATTTGTCTTTTTTTTTGGGGGGGGTCTGGCTTATTTCACTTAGCATTATGGTCTCCAGTTTCATCCATTTTGTTGCAAAAGATGGTATTTCATTATTTATTATGGCTAAGTAATATTCCATTATACATTTCCTTTGGGTAAATTCCCAGGAATGGGATAGCAGGGTCAAAAATTTTCAGAAATCTCCAGTTTGTCTCCCGCAATGTTTGTACTAGTTTACATCCTCACCAACA